GGGGGCGCACGGGCGTGGGCGCGCGCGGCGCGGGTCTCCGGCCGGGTTTGCGAGCTGGTGGCGCCTACGAAGGCGGCGGTGGCTGGAACCTGCGTAACAGGCAGGGTGATCGCGGCCTTCTTGCTGGAGACTCGCCGCCTGGCACTTGGGGAGCGTTCAGAGTGCCTGGAGGCGAGAGCGGGAATAAAGGTTGCTTAAGCACAGAGCTTGGAGCTGTCTTGACCCCGTGCCGCCGGTGCCGCCGGGCCTCAGGCGCCTTCTGCGGCCCTGAAAGCACCTCCCTTCCCGCCACGCTGGCCCCTGGTGCGGAGGAGAGAACAGGGTGGAACTGGCCCTGGATGGCTTGGGTTGCATCCCTCAGCCCAGGACGACTGCTTCTGGCTGTCTCCCCACAGCCTGGCGCCTGGCCAAATTCCCCAGGGCACCCAGTAAATGGTGAATAAAAGATCTGCCGACCACTGACCCATTGGACAGCGGGGAAGGTTGGGGTCACAGAAGTGAATCCTTGGCCTTGTGAAATGACCTGGAGTTGTGATGGGCATGGTCTGCAGCTCCAGGCCGCAAGCACTGGGCCACACCCCAGGAAAACACCAGGACCCAGGGGCCTGGCCAAGGCCATTGCTCGCAGCTGGGACTGGCCCCAAGTGGAGAAGTACCTGTCCTCAACTAGCTCTGACTCCTGGGCAAGGGGAGCCCTGAACCTCACCGGCTACCACCCTGAGCCACTACCAGGCTCTTGGTGGGGCTATTGGTCCTGCCAGTCAGTGCCTGTCCCTTCTGCCCACTGCTGCCTCACTCCAGCCCTGTCAGGAGCAGTAACTGAGAGTCCTTCTAGCAGGGAAGGGTCTCCAACCAACTCAAACAAAACCACAGCTTCAGAACCCTTGTGAATGCCTAGCCTTCGGGTATCCAAACCCAGGTCGTGGCCCATGATGACTAGGGGGCCTAGTGAGCCATGTGAGACTGGGCGCCCTGGGGTGGCTTGAGAACCACCTGTCAGGAAAGTTGTGTGACAGCTGCCCCTGGACCCACTCACTGGATCAGCTCTGGACCTCACCAAACCCTGGGCCTTCCACACCAGCCGAAAGCACGCGAGGAGAGAACACACCAGCAGTGGCCGCAGCCCCATGGCCTCACGACAGCCATTTCCAACTGCAGCCTGGTTCCTCCCCACAGCCTGCCAGGGGAGGGTGAGGTCCCATCTTCAAGGATACCCCAAAATCTATTACCCCATGATACAGACAGGAACCCGAAACACAGCGAGGATGTGTCTTTCCTGAGGCCACACAGCAAGTCAGTGGCATAGCAGAACTAGAAGCCCTGGCCCAACCCTCCTCTTTAGCTCAGGTTTGAGCTGAACTGATGGAGGAGTTGAGGTCCCAGCCCCTTTTACTCTCTGGTACAGAAATGGCTCCGGTCCAGTGGATGGTCCCTTCCTGATACACAGGCACTGGTGACATGAGGGGCAGTAGGATTATTCTCTTCTGAGAACACAGGAGCCCAAACTGCCACCAGAGGCCTTATGCACAGAGTAGACAGTTTCCCAGAGGCAGAGGTCTAGTTCAGGTGGACTGGCCAGCTCCTGGATGGGCACCCTGCCATCGGCTAGGTGGACATTTAACCCTGCCCCAGATCTCATCCTGCAGAGAAGTTCCTGGGTTTGGGTGGGGTATGGTCAAAGGGGATCCCCACTGGACCTCAGCCACCACAGCTTTTTTTTTTTTTTTTGGTACCAGGGATTGAACTCAGGGGCACTCGACCACTGAGCCACATCCCAGCCCTATTTTGTATTTTATTTAGAGACAGGGTCTCACTGAGTTGCTTAGTGCTTTGCCATTGCTGAGGCTGGCTTTGAACCGTGATCCTCCTGTCTCAGCCTCCCCGGCCACTGGGATTACAGGTGTGTGCCACCATGCCCAGCTCCCCACCATAACCTTTGACTTTCATCTTACCCCCTTCCCACACCTAGGTCAGAGCTCCTCAAGGTTATACCTTCTAGCCAACGATCTTGGGTAATATCTCTAAAAACAGCAGGACCTAAGCATGGATGGGTAGAGAAACAGGGGTACTGAGAGCTGAATATCCAAATCTTCTAAGTATATCCAGGCTGCCCTCTTTCTCTCCACCTCCATCTCTTCCACATTGGTCTGCCATCTTCTATTACTCAGACCATAAGAAGGTCTTACTCAAATCTCCTGGCTGATTTCCCTGCTTACCCCAAGGCCCCCCAACCTTTACTCCACCAAATAGCTAGAGAGTTCTTCAAAACTCAAATCAGAACAGGTTATCCTTAAAACTCTTTGATGATTCATTTTTTCCCCCATATCAATTTCGGGTTGTTCTGGCATTGACTGAGGATTTTCCCCATTGAATTATGTGGTTACTTGGAAATTAATTGGGTCTGCTTCTGTACTCCCTGATTCTGTACCATTGATTTACTTATCTACCTTTATGTCAATGCCATGTCATCTTGCTTAATGTATGATTATAGTAAGTCTTGAAGGACATCTCCTCCAATTTTGATCTATTGTTTACCTGTTTTGACCATTCTGTGTCCTTTGCACTTCTTTATTAATAGTAGAAACAGCTTGTCAGCTTATATAAAAAGCCTGTGGGGGGCTGGGGCTGTAGCTCAGTGGCAGAGCGCTTGCCTAGCATGTGTGAGGCACTGGGTTCAAGTCTCAGCACCACATAAAAATAAATAAATAAAGGTATTGTGTCCATCTACAATAAATAAATAAATAAATAAATAAATAAATGCCCTTGAGGACTTTGAAAATTACATTACATCTATATATCATCTTGGGAGAAAGTAGGCATATTAACAACATTGAGTTTTCAATCCATGAACATCGTATATTTGTATTTATTTATAACTTATTACATTTCTTCAGCATTAAAAAATCCAAAACTGTTTATTAAAAATAAGCATTTTTATATGCATGCACAATTGTGTTGCTCATGAAAATCAGTCCAGTCTGTAGGGCTACATCTTGAGATAGCCTTTATTTGTGGAGAGTTCAGTTTAGTTTAACTTAGTTTTTAGTGAGTTTAGTTTTAGTTTTAGAGGTAATTCTCTAATACAGTGATGAGGTTTATACACTTGAGTGGTAGAAACCTGGTCCTTTGATGTGAGATCCCAGGTAAGACTCTTTTGAACATGTAAATTAGCAGAACTCCTCAGATTGACGAGGTTCCAAAGAGATCAGGGTGGAGTGGATATCCTCCTCGTGGGAAACAACATGTAAGTCTCCTGGGAAAGGCCTGGGGTCTCTGATAGTGGCATGAACAATCCCACCTCTCATGTTAGAGGAGAGAGGGTTTTTGGGGTGGCAGGTATGGTTGACCCAGCACCCAACTCTGGAATGAATGTTTTGTTGGACAACTTGCCAGGTGGAGGCCTGTTCTCAGGCAAAGGTCCAAGTCTTCCATTCAAAGAAGAAGAAAAGGGCCCGGCATGTCGGGGCATCTTTGATGGGTGGTATAAAAGACCTCAGTTTAAATGGAGATTCTAAAAGACCCATGTTAGCTCAGTTGTCTGAACAATGTTTTATGGTTTTCAGTTACAGGTCTTACTTACCTTTCATCAAATTTACTTCTGAGTATTTTGACTTTTTGATGATATTGCAAATAATATTTTAATTTTCTAATTGTTTGTTGTTAGAATATACAATTATTTTTTGTATATTGGCCTTGAATTTTGCAACCTTGCTAAATTCACTTATCAATTGCAGATTTTTATAAATAAGTTAGAATTTTCTATGTAGATAATAATGTGGTTTGACTTTTTCCTTTATTAGCTTTGTGCCTTTTTTTCTTGCCTTATTGTTGAATAGAATGAGAGTAGCTATCCTTGTTCATGATCTAGAGAAAAGCATTCATTCAGTCTTTCATGGTTGAGTATGTTGCTAGTTGTAGTTCTTTCATAGATTTTTTTATTCCAATTTTTTTTGGGAAGTTTTATCATGAGTAGTGCTGAATTTTGTCACTTTTTCTATATTTATTGAAATGGTTTTGCAATTTTCTTTTTTATTTTGTAAGTGTGATGAATTACATTGGTTTTCAGGTATTGAACCAATCTTGCACACCTAGAATAATTATCTCAATAAAGTGGATTTTATTTTAATTTTTGTGCTACTAGGGATTGAACTTACGGGTGCCTTACCACTGAGGTACTTCTCTAGCCCGTTTTTAAAAATACTTTTTAAATTGTCAATGAACCTTTATTTTATTTATTAATTTATTTATATGTGGTGCTGAGACTTGAACCCGGTGCCTCACACATGCTAGGTAATCGCTCTACCACTGAGCCACAGCCCCAGCCCCTTTTTGTTTTTTATTTTGAATCAGAGTCTTGCTAATTTTCCAAGATTGGCATCAAACTTGTGATCTTCCTGCCTCAGCCTCCCTTGGGGCTGAAATTATGGGTGTGTGCCACCATGCCCAGCTGGATTTTAAAAATTTTAAGGAAAAAAGGAGAGGGGGGGGCTTTCAGCTAAAAGAGATATAAACAATCATCATTTTTTTAAGAGCAAAAGAAATATCTTTCTGAGTAATTGTAAGTTTGAATACTGATGGGATATTTGATGACATCAGGAATTACTATGGATTTAAATTTTTTATTTTTATTTATTTATTTATTTATTTATTATATTTTTGGGACGGGGGTTTTGGCTCAATGACAGAGAGCTT